GTGATGTTGAGCTCGCTGCCAAACGGGATGTCAGTCCCTGGGGAGCACTGGAACTGCGGCACTCTGCTGATGAGCTTGAGGATGCCCGACTCCAGTGGTCGACTGCTTCTGGTCGTAGCTCGCGCAGGCTGTGCAGCTTCAGCTTGAGGTCCAGGCGCCAATCCCAGTGTGTAGCCAATCTCCCTCAAGACTGCCGCATCCTGCTCACGAGCACGTAATTCAGATTTGCGATCCGCTTGATAGTAAAGGTCCAGAAGACGTTGTCGCAACTTGCCAACCGCTTCCAGCGCTGGTTGCAACTGCCCGACTCGGGCATATCTGACCTGAAGAGTTGCCACTTCACGTAGAGCATTGATGAATGGATCTGCACGTTCTTGGTCAACTGCCTTCTTCTTGATGTACTTGTTAGGTTGTCCCCATCCAAACCACCTTTTGCTCGCTGTCCGTCATAATGCGCAGCGATCGTTCGGCAGCTAACGTCCACTCGCCAAAGTGTCTGCCCAACTCCAAGGCGCCCTCGCTGTCGCGCTTGAAGGCCCAGGACTGCATCGTAGCCTTCAGCGGCTGTGCAAGTAACTCGTCTCTCGTAAGACTGAGCGCTTCGTGCCATGGGGAGTCCGCCACACTGCTGCGCACCTCTTTGGCATACGTCTCTGCCAGGGGTTGAGTGTGCTCATCCTGTCCCATGCCTCCTGGTTGGATTCCATCACTCTCAGCCTGTGCTTGGAGTTTAGCATGTCGCTCTCGGTCACGCTGGAATCGTTTCACTCCTTTCTCCATCTTGATTGTCGTCTTAGGGGTGTCCAACTTTACGGGCAACTTAGGGGCCTGAACGAAAATCGCAGCCGGTCGTGAATGCAACTCCAAGTCCAGTCCAATGCGAGGCCCCCATGGCACATTCCGAACTGGAGTAAAAGATTTGATCAGCAGCAAGAAGTCCCTCGAACAGACTCCATAGTCCAAACGCCTGCCCCTTCCTGAAGTACATGTGATGTCGCACTCCGTCGGCAAAAGCAGCTCCCCTCTCAGCGCCTTTAGCCACTTCGTGCGTCGAAATTGTTCTGGCGTGTTGTTCCAATCCCCAATTGTCACCCAGGGCACAGACATGGACTTGACAATGCGTGGCAACTGAACCATCTTGTGCGCATTATCTCCCTCAAAGCCCTTGCCCGTGTCCAAGTAGATCACGATCAATCCAACGGTGACTCCCTGGAGCCGCCACAGCATAACCGATGCATCTTTCGGCTGCTTCTGACATGCACTCTTGCCTGTCCCATCAGGTAGGCGAGCTGCTGTCATCAATCGGTTGCGTGCCAACCAACAAGTACCCCCCACGTGTGCCCTTCACACTGGTGCCTGTCGGCGTCGCTGTAGTCCACGTGAACTGAGACTGCCATCCTTGCCTTCGCAACTTTTGTGATTCAACCTTGATCGCCCGAGCCAGCAGGTGGTGTTCAGCCAAACCATTCACCCCAAAATCTGCATGCTCGGTGTAGTGCTTGACCTTCCCACTGTAGCTTGTCACATTCGCATACAAAATGTGAACCGTCTTCTTCTGGCTGGTATTGCTAAACCGACTGTCCACTTCCACCTGCGCCCCCCGCCGTTGGAGTCCGAGCCTTGACCTTGGCCTTGATCGCCGTGGTCGCGGCAATGTATTTGTCCACGTCGTCGGGGTTGGTGAAGTCCACGGTTGGGGCCTCCTCAGGCTCCTCCTTCTTGACTTCAGTGGTCGGTTCAGCTGCTCCCGAAGCTCCTTTACGTCTCTTGGAGGTCGCCGTCGAGTGAAGAGCACGAATCTTCTCCGCTGCCTCTTTGGCCGACTTCCCTGCATCATTAGCTTGTCGTAGTACGTCTCGCGCTTGGTCAGCAGCTTCTTTGGCAGCCGCATGCTCCTTCTTGCCATTCTCATCCAGGCACGCCAAGTCTTCTGCGCCCAGCTCTGGGGACGTGTCCTCGTCGGCCGCTGCCTCAGCCGCGGCTGCAGCCATGGCTGCTCCTGCTGGGGTCTTGATTGCATCAACTTCAGCCTGCAAGTCCAGACGCTGCTGAAGATTCGCCAACAACTTCTCTTGTAACTCTTTCTGTGACTTAGCTGCAGCCACCAACTGAGTCTTGATACGTCCTTGCTGCGCTTGCAACTGGCGAATCTTCTGAGCATTGGTTGCCAACTTTTCCTCGCAAGAGGGAACTGGCGGTGGCTTTCATTTAGCGGCCAGCTCTGGGCATACAGTTTCCAGGGCCTGCTGCTGCGCCACGTCGTTGTCCTGCTTGGCTTTCTCGTACTTGCGCATGAGAGACTGCTCCACCACAGCCTGCGGATCGGGCGGGGCTCCTCCAGACTGTGGGGCTCCTCCTCCTCCTCCTCCTCCTCCTTGACTCTGCACTGCGGGGCATAGGACACTCCAGAGTAACCCACAGCTGTGACAAACTTCCCATCCAGACTTGCCCATCTTGTGATTGAATACCCAAGACTTATGACAAGTAGGACATACCGTATACTTCTGCTTCTGGGCCCTGCTCGTCGAACGTGCGCGGGCACCATCCTTCTTTCCCATGTACAACACACGCGCTTTCGCCGCCGTGCTGGGCGCCCCTCAAGCCGCGGGCGTGCCTGACACAGCAAGCTGATGCTATGGCGGCACACGGTACGCGCGCGTGTGTGCGGGCCCCTCCCCTTCCCTAAGAGGTCTGACCCACAAAGGCTTGAGAGGAGGAGGAGGAGGAGGAGGAGGAGGAGGAGGAGGAGGAGGAGGAGGAGGAGGAGGAGGAGGAGGAGGAGGAGGAGGAGGAGGAAGAGGAGGAGGAGGAGGAGGAGGAGGACTGGCGCCGTCATCGGCCCTTTGGGCTTCCTGGGAGGCCCTGTGTCGCCACGGCCGGACTCGCCTCGGACTTCTGGTCAGACCGCACCCCTGGAGAGGTCCGGGGAGTGGCGGTATCGATATCCCCCGACTTCGGATCCGCAGCGCCTTGGGCGATTGCGAAAGTGGGGCGGAAATTGCCGCCCTACTTTCCAGGCTACCTTGAAGTCTATGTCCACCCTACTTGGCCGTCGCTGTTTCCGCGACGCCTCTGCAGGAATGCCCGCCACACTTTTTCTGATGCAGGAACTCCTACTCTACTTTGTCACATCGTTTCGTTGTTACTTTCCAGCACAGTCTCCAAATCAGAAAATGGATGAGGAGGGGGCACGAGGGGAGTGGGAGGAGGTGGAGGATCAGAATAGGGGGGAATGAGGACGAGAAGGGGGATGGGGAAGGAGGAGCAAGGGGCAGGAGGAGGACGAGGAGGAGGAGGAGGCGGAGGAGGACCAGAAGTTTTCTCTGCCTTCGGGGAAGGCTTCGGAAGCTTCTCAAAGGCTGGAGGACTTCCGAGCCTTCTGAGAAGGCCCGCCCCTTCTCACTTCCCCTCTGGGCTCGCCGCCGAGTAGAAGTGGGGCAGGGACAGAAGTGGGGTTAGATGAAAACTGCTAAAAACGGCCCGTGTAAGAAAGAACTGTCCGTATCCAGCTGGGTACGTCCCCTGACCCCACCTCTTGCCATCGCTCGGACGTCCATTCCCCGTGCATTTCTCGGTTTCGTGCGTGTTCCTGTTGCTCGATGACCCGGCTGCTCCTCGACGGTCCTGGCCCAGAAAACAGGCACGCGCCCGAGCGATGCCAAGACCTTAGGATAACCCCCCCTCTACGAGCCCCCGACCCAGAGGCCTCTGGACACCTCCAGAGGCCGCCAGGGGCTTCCGGAGGCCCCCGCGAACGACCCTGGAGGCAAGGGCAGCCATGTTCGGGGATGGACAGACCTCCCTTTAGTAAAACGTGGTTTAGTGAAAACGACCTGAGGCCCAAACCTGGCGGGCGCAAGCCTGGAAAATAACGGCCGCGGCGCCCTCTCGAGAGCCGAAAACGGACAATTCACTAATCGACGTGTCACTGTTGGGGGTTCTGTCCGCCCCCGACATGTTCGAGCTCGGCGCTGCGAGAGCGCGGAGGACAGCCTCGCGCGCTCGCGCCGCCGCTCCCCCTCGGCGGAGATGCGAGGAGGACGACGGGGACGAGGATTTAGGGTCGGGCATGTCCCTCTGCAGGCGGATTTCAGGCGAAGAGTGGAACATACCCCGAGCCTACCACACAATCTTCTGAACATCGTGCAAACAAAAAGGTCCCCAGCGGCTGCTCTTGACAACCTTCCTCCTGCAGAGGGACCGGCCCGACTTGAGAGCGAGGACAGCACAGCCGAGAGCCGAGCGCAGAGGAGGAGGAGGGGAAGGAGGAGGAGGAGAAGGAGGAGGAGGAGGAGGAGGAGGAGGAGGAGGAGGAGGAGGAGGAGGAAGAGGAGAGACGAGGAGGAGGAGGAGGAGGAGGAGGAGGAGAGGAGGAGGAGGAGGAGGAGGAGGAGGAGGAGGAGGAGGAGGAGGAGGAGGAGAGAGGAGGAGGAGGAGGAGCAGGAGCAGGGGGTCGCGAGCCGAGAGCCTGCGCAGAGCTGCGCGCCCTCGCGAGGAGGCCGCGAGCCGAGCGCCGCGCACCGCGGCGCGCCCTCGCGAGGAGGTCCGCGCGGGGGCCTCCAAGGAGGAGGAGGAGGAGGAGGAGGGAGGAGGAGGAGAGGAGGAGGGGGGGGAGGAGGAGGAGGAGGAGGAGGAGGAGGAGGAGGAGGAGGAGGAGGAGGAGGAGGAGGAGGAGGCCGCCGTCGGCGGCGCCGTCGTCGTCGGTGCCGGGCCGCCCCGGCTCTGCCGGGGGCGGCCGCGGCGACGTCGACGACGAAGCCAACGACGAGGCTCACGACGACGAGGCTGACGACGACGAGGCTCACGACGACGAGGCTGACGACGACGAGGGACGACGAGGGACGACGTGGCCAGCGACGGGGCCCACGACGACGGCGCTGACGACCTCGCGACGACGAGAGACGGCCATGGACCACGACCACGACGACCACGACGACGACGTCGGGCCGATGTCGTCGTGGTCGTCCGTGGTCGTTGCCCTCGCCCGACCGGGGGGCGGCGTCCTGGCCAGCCGCAGCAGCACCTCCGAAAATCGTCGAGCGCCTCCGCCACCTCTGGACACCGTCGCCTGGGCGACAATTTACCGTCGTCGCCCCGCCGTCGCCGCCAGCTGCCGCCGCCGTCGTCACCGCCGCCGCCGCCGTCGTCGTCGTCGTCGTCGTCGTCGTCGTCGTCGTCGTCGTCGTCGTCGTCGTCGTGGTCGTCGTCGTCGTCGTCGTCGTCGCCGTCGCCGTGTCGTCGTCGTCGTCGTCGTCGTCGCCGTCGCCGCCGCCGCCGTCGTCGTCGTCGTCGTCGTCGTCGTCGTCGTCGTCGTCGTCGTCGTCGTCGTCGTCGTCGTCGTCGTCGTCGTCGTCGTCGTGTCGTCGTCGTCGTCGTCGTCGTCGTCGTCGTCGTCGTCGTCGTCGTCGTGTCGTCGTCGTCGTCGTCCCCCCCCCTCTCTCTCCTCAGCTTTAGGCGAAGGAAAACGACATACACATAAACTTCAGGAGGTCCGAACAAACCTTGAAACATCTATGTGTATGCGTTCTTTCATTTTCGATCCTACCCCTTCTTCTTTTGCCTTTTGATGCATTCCTCGGGCTTTAGCAAAGTAGTTGTAACATCTGACAATTCAGTCGGAACAAAAGTATCCACAATCCGAGAAAGCGTGAAAGCGCTGCAACAGTCCGGCTCATTTTGTATACACGACTGACCGAACAACCAAGATCTTGCTCACTTCTACACAAAACATCAGGAAATACCCGGGTCTTCCGCATTTCCTCTGGAAAGCCATATACTTGAAGCACCGGGACCTCGGTCATGTCTGTTCCCCCAACAACTACCTTGATCTTGCTCGTTTCTGGTTGAAAACGATGAGACCAGTAACGATTGCTGCTCATACCCCTTTGAAAAAAAACAAAACGGCAAGCCGCGGCCGCCGCGACGCGGCGGAGGCCGCTACCGACGCGGCCGCCGCGACTGCCGCCGCCGCGGCCGCCGCCACCGCTGCTCAAGCCGCGGCCGCCGCCGCCGCCGCGGCCGCCGCTGCTCAAGCCGCGACCGCCGCCGCGGAGCCTTCGCTGCGAACCCGGCGCGCCGGGGCCGCCCTGGAGCGCGGCATCCTCCTGCCGCCCGCCAGGCTCGCTGGGTGCGCTTGCTGGCTGCCGCCCGCCGCCGCGTCGAACTCGCCGCCGCCGCCATCGACGTCGTCGTCGTCGTCGTCGCCGTCGCCGCCGCCGCCGCAGCCGCCGTCGTCGTCGTCGTCGTCGTCGCCGCCGCCGCCGCCGCCGCCGTCGCCGTCGTCGTCGTCGTCGTCGTCGTCGTCGTCGTCGTCGTCGTCGTCGTCGTCGTCGTCGTCGTCGTCGTCGTCGTCGTCGTCGTCGGCGTGGTGGTCGTGGTCGCCACCGTCGTCGTCGTGGTCGTGGTTGCTGTCGTCGTCGTGGTGGTGGTAGTCGTCGTCGTCGTCGCTGCCGTCGCCGTCGCCAAGATCACCGTGGCTTGGGTCGACGCCGTTGTCGTGGTTGCCGTCGTCCACGTCTGACTGAGAAGCGATGTGCAACAAGAGGAGAATGAGGACAAACAGTGGGAGAAGGACAGGGGTGCCAGTAGAGGCAAGATAGGAGGAAAGGAGGAGAAACAACAGCCGCGAAGAAGCAACAGCCGCGACATGAGAAGCAGGAGCCCCAAGACGGCCCCTGAGGCCCATTGATGCTCCAAGACAGCACAACAATCCCACAAAAGGGCCGCAAGGGGGGCCAAGAGGGGACAAGCAAATGAGCTCTTGGAGTCTTTCCTCAACAGATTGCCGCCACGACCACCAACATGCCCCCAAGAGCCCTCGGGAAATGCACAAAAGGCCAGACGAGGCGTACAAGAGACCCCAAGAGGCCTGCAACCGGCCCCTAAGAGGCATCCCAACCGACCCCAAGAGACGTCCAAGAGGTCTCTGACCCACAACCCACGATGGGACGAAGGCCGCTAGGTCCGCCGCCCCCTTCTGTTTACAAAAGGGTGCGCGGCGTGCCAAATTTGCAACTGGCCCTTTGGGCCCTTCCAAAAGGTTCCCAATAAGGTCTCGGCTCAATTCACCGGCCACCCAGACGAGATGGTATGCAAGTGTTTTTCCGCCCAAGATGGTGCAAGGATGCCTCTAAGAAATCCAATCTGGCTTTGAAAACGGTCCAAGATGGCCTCCACGGAAAACAAGATGGCTCCAAAATGGCCCAAGACGGACCCATATTGCTCCAAGACGCCCGAGGCCTCAAGGCTGCCCAATAGCGGCCCAAGACTCCCGAAGAGGGCTCCAGGATACCCTATAGGAGAGCCCGAAGACGCCACCATCATTGAGCATCCTAGGTTGTTGCATGATTTTCGCGTTCTCGCCGTTCGAGTTTCCGGCAGCCAAAGACGACCCCAGAGGCCTCCGAGACTGCTCCGACACGACCCAAGACGCCCCCGAGAGGGCCCCAGAGGGGCCGGGGATGGCCTGGAGCCCCCCCAAGGACGCCCCCGAGAGGGCGAGCCCAGGAGACCTCCAAGACGGCCGTGCAGCGCCCCAGGAGGGCCTGACACTGAGCGGCGATCGTCGCCGCGTCGGCTCGGGCTTGGCCGGCGGGTGGGGGCGCTTTGGCGCGGGGCCCGTGGCCGGGCGGGCCCGCCACCGCGCGCCGACGTCTCGCAGACGTGTGGGGCTGGACTCCACCAGCTCGGCGCGGCCGGCGGTCTCGCCCTCGGGCCCGCGGGAGCGCCCGGCAGCCATGCGCTCGTGCACGCGTGCGCCCTTCCTCGACGGGGAGGGGGGGGAGGGGGCGGGAGGGGGGGGGGGGAGGGTCCTGAGGCTTCGGAGCGGCCTGGCAGATCTCTCACGCCCCGCGCCGAGCAGCCCGTCGGGGGGGGGGAGGGGCAGGGGGAGGCGAAGACCTCGGCCCCGAGAGGGGGCGCGAGAGGATCGGGGGCGCGCAAGCATGGATTAGCGATCCATGGATCTGGCGCGCGGTCGCCAAATCCATGGATCGGGCGGCTGGCGCCGCCTCGCTCGCCGGCGGGAATCCGTGATTTTTCCCATGGAAGCGGGACCCGTTGCTAATCCACGCCACCTTGATCCATGTTTGCGATCCCCTGGGACAAGGCCCGTGCCTTCAAATAAGCAGGGGTGCTTCTCAGAAGCCTTCCCCCCATTCCCCTACCCGTAGGTCGGGCATGTGCCCCTACAGACGGATTTCGAACGAAACAAAAACCATATGTCCAAACATACCCCAAACATATTCAAAATTCGTTGAAAAATCGTCCCCAGAAAGAGGAAGCGTCCTGCATCTGCGGGATGTGCTCCCCCCCTCTTTAGGGGGCACAACAGTCCACCCCCATCATAGCCACCTCGGCACGCGAAGCCGTTTAACTACTACACGCCCCCGCTGCAGGGATCGAGCAGAGCAGGGCTGTTGAGTCAATGCCCAAGGCCGTTTTGGACACGTCAGTTGTCCGGTCCGGGTGGCTTTTCCTCCCCTGCCTCTGGTCTCCCTCCCCGCAGGATGGCCATCGAAGGCGTCCGACGGGTCGGGCCGAGAGATCTCCCAGGTGCCCCCAAGAGGCCCACCAGGGGCCGCGACAGGGCCTCTCAGACACCCCAAGGGGAGCCCCCCAGGAGGCCCTCCATGGGGCCCCCAAGAGACCCCCTCCTCTTCCTCGTTCTCATCTTCCTCCTCCAGTCCTTTTTCCTGGTGCGCAGACGATCCCACTCTGTCGCAGCTCAGGCGTGTCAGCAGGGAGGGCCAGGCGTCTACGTAGCCTGAGATTCCCCGACCGTTTATGATCCTGAAGCTTGACATTTGCAACAGTTGCGAGGCTGGGGGAAGTCGTTCTCAAACTGGGGCTTGCGTTTGAGCGCCGCGCACCATGGTCTTAAAATGTTGGAGCGCCCGTGGTTTTCAAACTGCTGTTCTCGCAGGAGCGCCGCGCACATTCGCCTCCAAAGTTTGCGACAGCTTCAAGGAGACGGAGGGGGGGTCATTTCCCAAATTGGGCTCTCGCCTGAACGCCTCGCAAGTTCGTCTTACAAGTGTGTAGCGGCCTCGAGGGATGTTCCTTTTCAACATGGAGTTCTCTCCTGAGCGCCGCAGCAGTCACAAGGATGGAGGGAGGGGAAGTAGTTTACAAAGTGGGACTATCGCCTCAGCGCTGCGCGCATTCATTGTAGACGCTCCACGAGCTACAAGGGTGGCGGTTCTAAGAGCTGGGGCTTTCGTACGGCTTCCCTTGAAGCTCAACTGCCATAAGCTTGGGCATCTGCCACAGCTGTGCGTAATCAGGGCGGTTCCCTTCGCCTGAGACTTCCTCGGGGTCCATGGCCAGAAGTGGAAACTTGTGCAACAGCTGCGCAGAGGAGGGCGGCCTTTTCTCAGGACGGGAGCTGCGCTGGACACCTCGGAGAGTCCGCGCAGTCGACCCCGCTGTCCTGCATCCCACACTGGAGGAGGAGGAGGAGGAGGAGGAGGAGGAGGAGGAGGAGGAGGAGGAGGAGGAGGAGGAGGAGGAGGAGGAGGTTGAGGAGGAGGAGGGGAGGAGGAGGAGGAGGAGGAGGATGCAGACTACTTCCTTTTCAACACGGGGCTCTCGCCTGAATGGCAAGCCCACAAGGCTTGGGTCTTTCAAGGAGGCGCTTCTTCTGGCAATCTGGCAGGTGGGTACATTGCAGCACCGTTGATGCATCTTGTGTTTACTCTGGTCGTCCTCCTCCTCTTCCTCCTCCTGCTCCTCCACCTCCCCTCTTTCTCCTCCTTCCCAAGTGTGCCCCCAAGAGTTTCGACAGCGGCTGGGGGAACCCATAGTCCAATAGCTTGGCCAAACTTTGGCAATCCACATCGGCGTTTCCACAAGGAAGGGGGGGGCGGTAGTTCGCCATAAACGTATTCGACGACTCCTCCTCGTCACACCACCGAGTGTGCCGGTGGCAGCGACGCGCCGACGGCGCCGACGGCGCCCGAGCGGCGGCCGACGGCGCCGAGACGCCGCCGAACCCGACGAGGCCGCCGCCGCCGGTGCCGCCGCCGAAGGCCGCCGAGGGCGCCGAAGGCCGCGCGGCGGCGCCGAGGCTCGCGCCCCGCGCGCGGGCGGCGGAGGGGGTCCTGGCGCTCCGCGCCGGGCCCGAGGAAGCTCCTGGCCGCCGCGCGCG